ATGTTAATGGTTGACCTAGTACGTTCAGCGCTTAAGTTGGTTCTTCCCCATCCACGTCCCCAACCTTGACCTCGGGTGCGTGAACTAAAAGAACCTCTACCACATTGTTGCAAAAGAGTGGTGGAAGATCGCCGAAGTGGAGTTGAATGGCCCTACCATTGTACTTCTTCTGAATCTTTACTTTTGTTTGTCACAGTTTCATGAGAAAAAGTAGATCGCATCTTCATGAATGCCAACTTTGTGAACTGAGAATGGCTGTGAATCTCCTCTTGATGCAATGTTCTTGTCCTTCTCTATAATACTTAATGCATTCATATAGAGATGATGGAACCATGTTGTGTTCATGAATCCATGATCGACCAAGTAGAGCGTTGAAAGATGTCTTGGTGTCGATGTATAAAACTTGGTGGTTGTTACTAGTTCTCCAACCTTCATAAGAAATTTCATCGATCCAAGGGCCCTCACTCCCTTTTGGTTGAATCCTCTTAGCATCATTTTATCAGCTGTAAGCTCTTGAGCTTTGATGTCCAAATAGGCCAATGTCCGTAGGCTCATCAAGTTAAGTGATGCTTCGGAATCCACTAAAACTCTGGGCAACACAAATCTGTCAATGTTAACGGAGATGTAGAGTGGTCAATTGTGGTCAGCGGTACCAAGCAGCAAATCTTCATCTGTGAAGGTTACCCTAGGCTATTCTTTCAACGAATAAACTTCATTCGAGGATGTGCTGGTCACTTGAGTTAAGCAAATATCTGGGTGAAGCAAGGCTGTAACCAGAGCTTCTCTCATCTTCTTTGATAGGATAGAGTGTCGTAGATGCTTAATCGTGCCGACAGCTTCCTAAGATGAGCTAGCAGATGAGCTAGAGATGAGCTAGCATGTTGTAATCCACTTTATGTGGTCCTCCAATTTTCACTTGGTTGTGTGGTTCTTCCACTGGTGGGGGTGGAGATAGTTCTTCTCGAGTTACTATTTGTTTTCCTTTATTTGCTGAAGCTATTCTTGGGGTTAACACTCTTCTGCTCCTTAAATTCACTTATGTAATTTCTTCTTCTTGAGATATCATTGTTGAATTGAATCTTCTGGTGTTTCTTCTTTGTCGGAAAGATTTAAGTTGATGGCAAGTGGTGCACCCTGGCACTCGAGGATTAGTTCCTCACTCCCGGTGCTGTCGTAGCTGGTATCGTTGATGTCTTCTTCAGTCTTGTTAGCGAGTTTGTCGGACTCAAGTATGATTTGAGGATCATTTTGGGAATCAAGATCAAAGCTAGATTGGTTATTATTGATTACGTCATCACTAGAAACAATTAAAATGTAGTTGAAATCATGATCATTATAGTCATAAGACCTCGAAGGGGCAAAAAGATAATCATACAAAGTTAGGAATTCGAGGATTTTCTTCCCTGAATCTGAGATAACCAATCTAGTAGAGGCAGCCCCTATCCTACCCCTCATGCTATCAATCTTCATAGTGGTAATGTTCTTCTTTTTTTTTGTCTTTGACGACAACGGCTCTTGTGGCAAAATCTTCATCTCAGGCTTGACATGCTGAGGACTCTGAACAGAAGTTTGTTGTGACGCATTTTGGATTGGTTTAATATTTTCTTCGTCGATTTGCTCCAAACTTCATTCCATCCATCTTTTCCAATGTGTGTGGAAGATTGTTTCAATGAATTCTGGATTTGGTTTAGGACCCCTTTGAGCTCGTTCCAAGTCATACTCCATCCATCTTCTCCAGTATATGGATCAATCAGATAAATTGACTTGGCCAAAATCATATTTATGGAACCTTTTTCAGGTTCCCTTAAATATTCTTTCGGGATCGTTATATTTCCTTCTTTGAGATTTTTCTTGAGCCAGCCCTTAAAGATGAAACATTCTTCTATAGTGTGTCGGAGCAACCGGTGGTACAGACAATAATTTGGTTCATCTTTCTTGTCAACTTCTTCGGGCTTCTTTGGATCTGGTAGTCTGAACTCAGGCTTCTTCATCAGACTTCTGAACTTTTTGGATACTACTTCATCTTTGATAGAATACACCATTTTCTGTTATTCTGCTAAAGATGTTCTTTTATTCTTTGCTCGAGGTGATCCTTCTTGAGGCGGTCGCTGGTTGGATTGGTTACTCTATGGTTACTCTATGTCTTAGCATGCTGTGATGAAGATTGACGAGGATTTTCTACATATATCTTCATTGGTTGTTTTCTTTTATTGACAGTTTCTACTATTCCTGATTTCTTTTCAAGCACTCTGGTTGCCTAAGACTTTTCATGCGAATCCATATGTTTGATTTCTTCTTGATGAGTGCTAGCCTTACTGAGTAGCTTCGTGAAGGATTTGATGGTGAGTCCCTTGAGCATGAAAGCTACTGGTCATGAAAGCTACTGGTCCATGGGATGCTTTTGAGTAAAATTTCAATCACATGATGTTCCTGTAGCTGAGGTTCACACTTCATGCTAAGGTTTCTTCACCAAAAAATATAGTCCCCTAGAGTCTCGTTGGGCTTTTATTTTTCCATCATGAGTTCTTCTAGAGACATGTTGTTGCGCTTCAGCAAATCTTTTACACATAATTATTCGAGCTCAACAAAGGTTTTCATTGATCCATTGGTCAAATAAACATACTAATCGAAGGCAATCCTTGACAAGCTACTGACAAACTGTTGGAAGAGTAGAGCTTCACTATTTCTCGTGTTGCCACAACTGGCTCAAAAATGTGCTATATGTTGTCTGGGATTTCCAATCCCATCAAATATCTTAAGGTTTGGGGCCACAAAACCCTTGGGGAAGGGCACAACATCAAATTCCTCAGGATAGGGTCTACCCTTTAGAATCAACGCACCACCCTTAGATTGGGTTAAGGCCTCCCAAACTTGCTCGACCATTTGCTTAAATTCTTTTTCTGATATGGCGCTTGATGGAGAATCCTTCTTTGGTTGTTCATCTTTGTTTGCTAAGGCAACTTCTCTTCTTTCATTAAAGATATGTTTGATTTTTGGTTGGCTGATCTCTAGAGAGGCTAGTTGCGGTACTTGTGATTGTCTCCGAATGGTGACCATGGCGGTCATGGCGGCGGCCATCTCTTCTATCCTTTTCTCCAATTGAATTACTTGCTCATCTCATAGGAGAATAGCCCTATGCAGCTCATTTATGGCATTTTCTTCGATGAGAGGTTGAGCCTCACGCGTAGATGTAGCGGCTCTGGTTTTAATGACACAGACATCCATGAAATCCTCTTCGAGGTAATCATTGTAGTCAAAATCTTAATCATCGTTATTGATGAAGATTCTGTGCTCTCGAGCCAACTCAGAAATCTAGACTCTGATCCTTTCAACTTTTTCTTCAATCATTGATTCTTTGATTGTTCCAAGATCTGGAGGACCCTGCTGGACCTCCTCCTCCTCTTGCCCTCCTCTTGCTCTTCCATTTCACTGGCAATTACTGCGACGATGTCAGATACTTCGGACCCTAGCTTCATTTCATGATCTTGTTCTGCAGACTTACTGGACCGTATTGGTACAGCGACCTTGGGTATCTACACCTTCTTTTTTGAAGGTGATGTCTCAAGACGGGGTGTCCTACCGAAAAAATCAGGATGTCGAGGAGAAGTATGCTCCCCATGGTGCTGACCAGCTACAGTACCAGATAATTTCTTTTCCTTTGAAATTTTAGAAATGTCTTTGTGGTGTGTGCTTGGTAGAATTCTTGGACCCACTCTTGACTTAACTAGTGGATGACTTGTGGTCCTGGTAGTGTTGGAATTTATGGTGACAATAGCAGTGTCGACTCTGCCTCCCAAGAAGAACCAGACGTGAATACAAGCAGGCAGACTTTCAGTTGACTTCTGAGATAGTTTGGCAGATTTGACGTCCCTTAAAATTTTTTTCTTCATACGAGGGGAAATTGCATGACCCACTCATTTAAGTAATTCATTGACTGAACAACCTTCTTTGGCAGCTAGCCTCTAAAAATTTGAACTGACTCGGGTGATAGGAGTAGACTTTTTTTTCTCCTCACCATGTCCATGAAGTAACGGTAATGCAACAACAATTTTCTGAATGCTCCTGTATCCATCGGTATCCATTAAAGGATGGAATCTACTTCCCGAATCTACTTCCCCGCATCTTCCCTGCATAAGTGGATATACTTCTGGTAATTCTAACTCCTCTTGGTGAGGCTTTTCCTCGACAGTATTTTCTCAAGATTCTGGGCTTTAGAAGCCCTTCGAACTCTACTGTTGCGGTTTCTCTTCTGAGTTTGGGTTGGTGGTGCAGTTCTTGAACTCGATCAGATTTTGAATACTGGTGATTGGACAGCCAATCGCTCAGTCAGATCTTCAATGATCATTACTTCTTTTCCCTTAGCAGCAGTGGGGACAACATGCTTGGTAGGTGTCATAGTGTCAATAGTAGTCTTGGCCTTCTTATAAGAAGGGAAGTCCTGAAGGCAGTTTAGGTTCAACTCAGCAAATGGCTCCTGAATTTCTAAAGCGGTGACTTTCATTATGAAGAACGGGGCCTTCCCGAGGATAACCTCAATGTCTTCAAATCCGACTCCAAACTTAATGGTAGGAGCAACATTGTGGGCTTCATGGCTCGTCGGCAGGTTGTAAGAAAAAGTCAACATTGGGTAGTGATGCAAATAATAACATGGATGACAACGACACGACTTCAAGAGAAGATTTAATTCAAGTTCCACGTGGGCCAATTACTAGATGTCGTACAAAGAAGGTGAAAGAAGCTCTTAATGGATTAGTCCAGGAGGCTTGGACTCAAGCCAATTCATGGAGATCTAAGGAGAAAGAACCACAAAGATTTATCAACTTATTCCAAGCCCAAGGATAAAGGAGTCAAATTATTATGGCTGGATATTTTGTATTTTTATTGTGATATAATAATGGCTTGCATGCCAACTTGATGTAGTTTTCATTTGTTTTAGAAGATATTTTATCTTCTCTTTCGTTTTCTTGTAAGCTTTAGCCTATATATAGGCCTTATGTTAAATGAGAAGGGAACTTCTGGTTCTTGCCAAAAAAAAACATGCATTTGGGTTGTCTCCCACGATTTCCTTAGGATTCCAACGGAACTCTAGGCCATCGTCTAAGGAGTTATTTCCCGACTTATCAAGCGGATTTTCACCCCGTTTGTGGCGTCTTCCATTGTACCAAGGTTCTTTCCTCACGTCAAGCATAGGGTTGCGGTCTTATACCAACGTTCTTGTTTGCATTGATCATTGGGTCAAGGTTTACCTCCATCCATCCATTTTACCACAGGTTCTACCTATAATTCAGTTTGTTCCAGCCATGAGACGGTTTATTGTTTGGTTTCTTACATCACATAAGAATTTCCATCAATTCTTTTCGGTTTTGGCATGCACATCCGATTTTCTAATAAGAACATCAATCCCCACGATCCTGTCTTGCATATATGCACATTAGTTTGGTATCAGAGCCTCACAGATCTTGAGCACATAATTTTCTTGTTGGATTTTTTTTTCTTGTTGGATGTTTCTTTTATTTTTTCTTGGGTAATTGATGAGATTAGTTATTCTCTTTTTTTCTTATGTCTCATTTTTCATTTATGTCCGAATTTTACTAAGAAATCCAATTTGTTATTTTATTTCGTAATTACTTGTTCAATTAGTTTCTCTCATAATTATTCATATTCATGTTTTTGTTAATATTCAAATCATTATTGCTCATGTGATTGTCCTTGTTATTATTCATATTAGTTGTTCAATTGATTGTCCGAAGCAATTGTTCTTTTTTATTGTCCAAATCCGTGTTCATGTTTTTGTTCAAATCATCTAGTTCTTGATATTCTTTATGATAAATGTTGTTCTTGATGTGAACTTTTTTTTAAATTTTCATTCTTAAAATACAAATCAACTTGATGTGATCTTGTCATTTTATTTCTTTATTGATATTCTTGTTGTTCTTGATGTGAACTTTTTTATTTTTCATTTATTTTTATTTTCATTTCTTGAAATACAAATCATCTTGATGTGATTTTACTATTTTAATTTCATGTTATTTTTATTTCTTTGTTGATATTCTTATTGTTCTTGATATCATTTCTTGTTCTTGATATGATTATCCCAATCAGTTTAGTAGTGCTTTTGTTTTGATTCAAGATATCAAAATTTGTATTTCAATATCATCATCCCAATATTTTGCTTAGCATTTCAGATTTTTCTTATTTGTAATAATTTAGAATTTGATTTGTGTTGTTAATTTTGAATTCTTGCTTAGCTACCTTCATTGTAAGTCCCCAGTCATGTCCCAAACAAATTTTGAAGAAGAGGAAAGGCAACCTGCCATTCCTAATCTCCAATTTCAAGCATTGGTGAGGGAGATGAGAAGAATGATGAGGGTTGAGTTAGAGCAAATTCAAGAAAGATTGGAATGGGTAGAGGGAGGAATCCAACAAAGACAGCCACAAAATGTTTCCAATCGACAAAGGGAGAGAGTTCCACTGAGAGAAGGGAGGGAGGAGGATGAAGAATATTATGAGGCTGGATTTGATGAAGAGAATAATAGGGATTTATTTGTTGAGAGAAGGCGTTATGGTGGAAAAGCTAGAGACATTACGAACAGATACGATAATAGCTTGACAGTTATTAAGATGCGCATTCCTTCTTTTCAAGGCAAAAACAATCCTGAAGCCTATCTTGAATGGGAGAAGAAGATAGAATTAGTGTTCAACTGCCACAACTATTTCGAAATAAAGAAGGTGAAATTGGCTGCCATTGAATTTAGTGATTAAGCTATTGTTTGGTGGGATCCATTAATGTTGAGCAGGAGGAGAAATTGAGAACATCTCATAGAAACATGGGAAGAAATGAAAGTTGTTATGAGGAAGCGATTTGTGCCAAGCCATTACTATCGAGAATTATATTAGAAGTTACAAAGGCTTAGGTAAGGTAGTCAAAGTGTGGAAGATTACTATCAGGAGATGGAGATTGCTATGATTCGGGCTAATGTAGAAGAGGATCGAGAAGCTACTATGGCTAGATTCCTAAATGATTTAAACCTAGAAATCTAAGATAGAGTGGAAATGCAACATTATGTGGAGTTGGAGGACATGTTACATGTGGCCATCAATGTAGAGTAACAACTCAAAAGGAGGGGTGGCCCAAGTTTTTCAACTAGTGTGGGTTCTTCATGGAAGCCAAATTTTTCAAAAAAAAGAAAAAAGAGGACAAACCAATTGCAAACCCGAGCCAAGACAAGAGACAAATAGCCAAGGAACTCAAGGGAAAATTGACCCTTCCACATCTAGAAATCGAGACATTAAATGTTTTAAATGTCAAGGCA